GGGAGGCTGGGGAGACTTTCTCACCGGCCCCTTCTCCGACCCGCAGACAAAGCGACAAACCCCCTGAACAAGGACCTGGACTGGGAGGGTATCAATGCCTTCTGTGAGCAGCTCAATAAGGAGTTGGAGGGGTGAGTGCTTCTTCGTTCACCCAGGCTGTTCCCCGGTCATGGGCCTGGCTTATGATTGCACACCTGCTAAGTTCAGTGGGGTTGTCCTGAGAGCTGAGTAGGCACAAAGACCCTCAAAGTGGGGGTGGGTGGGGCATCCTGGTCCACTGACAGAAGGTTCCCACAGGGTTTTAGTGCCTTATCAGTGCCTTAGACTTTCAACATGCTTTTCAACCCTGGATTCCCAGCTAGAACCACTGGTACTAGTCTTTTCATCAATAACTCACTAGCTTTTTTTTTCCTCTTGCTCCTTGTAGTCCTCCCCTTGCTACCCGACTTCTTGCCCACAAGATTCAGTCTCCGCAGGAATGGGAAGCTATCCAGGCCCTCACGGTAAGGGCATCTGCAGGCTGGTAGAACTAGATGGAGTGCCAGGGTGTGGGATTGCTCCAGTTTGACTGGAGGAGCACAGGAAACTTTGAACTCCTTCTGAGAAAGCCCTGGAGCACCTGAGCCGTTGGGTGGGAGAGGGGCTGAGAGGGGTTCCACAAGAGAGGAAGGGTCTTGTTCCACAGAAGGATCATAGCCTATTGAAGTCGATGAGAAGCTTTTTATTCCCTTAGTGTTGTTGTGGATCGATGCTGCGAAACCCCAGTATTTGTGAACTCTCTTAAGGATATCCCATCCCATGGGCTGTTGTTTCCTCCGAAGAGAAAAATCTTCTTTCTTCCCTTTGGAAGAGTGGTTTGCCATCTGGGAGGGAAGGTCGTGTCCCTCTGTGCTGCTGTGAGGATAGCTACAGGCTCTGTGCCTGGCAAGGGAGGAGCAGGAGGGACCTGGCTCTAGAACCCACTGCTGACCCCGTGCCAGGGCTCACCCAGCTCCTCTCCCCAGGTGTTGGAGTTGTGCATGAAGAGCTGTGGCAAACGCTTCCATGATGAGGTGGGCAAGTTCCGCTTCCTCAATGAACTCATCAAAGTGGTGTCACCCAAGGTGGGTCCTAGGGGATTGTGCTGGCGGGGACTAGAGCCTGGTGGCAGGAGGGCTTTGGGAAGAAGCAGTGGCTGAGCAGAAAGGACAAACACCCACTGGGATGTGGGGGAAACAGGACAGTTCTAGTAAGAGATATAGTCTTCATTCCCTTGTGAGTTTTCCAGTAGGAACGTGAGCTTTCACCCTTCTGCTCCCAGCTGATTCTTGATGCTGGAAGCTGACGGCCAGCTATTCATGATGCAGCCAGCACTTGTCAGACTACTGAGCTCATCTGCGTGACTAGAGTCACCTTCCCTGCATCTCTGTCGGGCCCTGTCTGTGCTGCATGTGCTCAGGAACCTCCCTCAGCTTTGACATTGTGATCATGTCTCTCTGGGGTGTCCCAACCAGGTTGAGACACTCTGAGGGCAAGCCCAGGCCTGGTCAGTGGTGCTGTGGTGAGTCCATCTGAAGCACCAAGTCATTACGTGCTCCTCTGCTGATGCTGCTGTTTTGGTAGCAGCACAAGCTGTGCATGCTCTCCTTTTCAGTCAAGGCAGTTAACAGTAGCAAGGATGGAGTTAAGGGAACACGAACTAAACATGACTAAAGAAAACCTTCATCTGCCAGTCACAGCTTGTGATCAGTGATGATCAATATCCAGGGACAATGACAGCAGCACCCTAAAGTCCTCTTGCTGAGCACCCTAGAGAATGTCTTCTGCCTTAAGCCACTGGCCCCTGGTGGCACATGCACTGTTTTTACCACCAGTGCCCCCAGCAGGCCCATGGGAGAAAGATGATTGTTGTCAGTGGAAGAGCTGTAATGTGTGGACATATTCTGCTGGGTGCTGGTTGTCTGAGGCTCACCTAGCTCTAAAGGGTGCTGGGCGCTTTGTGCCAGAGAGTGCCCCTGAGAGAGAGGGCTGGGCCCCTCCCCAGGGACCGTTACCCACAGTCCTTTTCCTCCCAGCCCTGCCAACCCCTCGTTCCTGAAGGGCTGCCTTGCTCAGCAGCTTCTCTTAGCAGTACCCTTTCTGTCACAAGGTGACATAAATCTGCCTGAGCCTTCCCACCTGTCCCTGCATGTCATTGAGGGGCTGTTGGTGCAGCATTTCTCTCACCTCTTGTATTTCCTGTGGTGGAAACCAGGCGCAGCATAGGACATGTTGCAAGTGCCTTGTGAGCTTTCCTGCTTGCTTCCTCTTTCCCCCTCCTTGCGCCGTTGGGAGCGGTCTCACTTCTCCTGGGGGAGGGGAGGAGAGGAACAGGCCAGGCTTGCAATGGCTCAGATCAGCTTCATGCCACCTCTTCTCTCTTCCTGTAGTATCTTGGCAGCCGTACACCAGAAAAAGTGAAGTCAAAGATCCTGGAACTGATGTACAGCTGGACATTAGGGCTGCCTCACGAGGTGAAAATCTCAGAGGCCTACCAGATGCTGAAGAAACAAGGTGAGAAGCAGTGCTCTGTAAGGGGAAGGCAGATGAGCATTTTGTCCCTCCTTTTTTTTGTCTGGGCAGAATCTGAAATAGACTCTCCCTTTCCTGTGCCCAGACCAAGCACATCCATCAGTCTGATTCAGCAGCAGGGAGAGGCGGAGGAGCAGGTGCCTTGGAGCTCTTAGAGGGAGGTGCTGGTGGTCTGAGCTGCTTAATGGGTCAGAGGGGACATGTGCTTGCTCCCTTCAGGAGATGGGGCACTGGAACAAGCTGGGGCTGAAGTGTTGTGAGCACTTTGGCAGATAATGATGGGTTTTCCTAAGAGAGGATATTTATGGGGAGTTGGGGGTGGTTCTTCCATGAAAACACAGTCCAGGATCATGGGTAGTGGGAGCAGACCCAGCTTAGTCCCAGCTGGGTTTGGGGGTCCGTTAGGGAAGAAATGACCTAGGTGGCAGTGCCATCCCCCAGTGAGTGAGTCCTCCTGACCTCTCCATTGATCTCTACTGCAGGAATCGTGAAATGTGACCCAAAGCTGCCTGACGATGCTCCTTTTCCGCCTCCTCCCCCTCGGCCCAAGAACATAATTTTTGATGATGAAGAGAAATCCAAGGTGAGGGCTCAGTGCAAGGAGAGGGACAGCGAACATCATCTTCCCTGCTCCAGGATCTCCTGTCCTTCTGGGGTGGAGATCCAGAAAGAGTCAAGGCCCCTGCTCCACAGCTGTCCTTCAGAACATGCACCACAAGAATGCTGAGGGCTCGCTCTAAAATCATGACAAAGGAAGCCAGGTATAAGCTGATAGAGGGAGAGGGTAGATTTAGACTAGACGTTAGGAAGAAATTTTTCACTGTGAAGGCGGTGAGATATTGGAACGGGTTGCCCAGGGAAGTTGTGGATGCCCCATCCCTGGAGGTGTTCAAGGCCAGGCTGGATGAGGCTTTGAGCAACCTGGTCTAGTGGAGGGTGTTCCTGCCCATGGCAGGGGGGTTGGAACTCGGTGATCTTTAAGGTCCTTTCCAACCCAAACCATTCTCTGATTCTATGAAGCAGCCAGAGGTGGGGAATCTGGGTCTGTTTGACCTTTGGAGCTCTTAGGTGCAGGATGGTGCAAAGGTTGAAGCAGTGACATTAGCTCAGCAGGTTCTGGGAGGTTTGCTGCTGTGCTGTTTCCAAGCTTCTGAGTTATCTGGCCATGAGGTTTAAATCCCAGCCCCAGATGCTGCTGCTGTTATCTCTTCCCCACCCCCAGGCCTGCAGTCTGCTTATTGCCCTACTACTTATACCCTCCTGGCCCCATCCTATGTTGTCTTTCCGTCAGAATTGTGTCACCACTCAGATAAACCTCTACTTCATCAGTGCTGATACATTTAAGCAAGTATTAGGCTCCTCTGGGTGTAGTTCTGCAGCAGAAGTGTGATGACAGTTTGCTGCAGGGGATACCTTTTTCCTCCGTCAGTCACAGTGTGCAAATGAGGATTTGTAGGTGGCTAGAGAACAGGAGAGAAAGTGGGAGATCTCCCTTTTCACCAACTGCACCCACAGAGAGGCATATGAAGAGGCCTCAGTAAGAGTCCATTACAATCCCATGGCAATTCCTGTTAAACTAGGCATCCTCTCTTTCTCAGTGCTAGTGCTGCTGTGCTCCAGGGTCTCCATGGTGCATAATGGGCAGGCAGGAGCAGGTTTTGAATGCAGGAGATCTTCAGGGAAAGACCCGTCTTACATAACCAGAACCACAATGGAAAAAGGAAGACCAGTTGTACTTCTTCTCTCCCTGGCCTCTGATAGCCCACAAGCTCTTGTGGCTGGGCTTTCAAACGGCTGGTGTTGCCTGCTGCCTCTGCCAGATACAGTTTTGGCCAGGGGTAGCTCCAGTGGCTCTAGTGTTGCAAGACTGACTCTGGCTGCCACCCCTCAGCCTGGGCTCAGAGGTACCTTCTCTTTTGCAGATACTGGCTCGTCTCCTGAAAAGTTCCCATCCTGAGGACCTCCGGGCTGCCAACAAGCTCATAAAGGAGATGGTTCAGGAGGTGCGGCTGGGGAGAAGGGGAGCTGGAGATTCATGGTCTGGGTGCTAGTGTTTGGCACCAGGGGAGCAGTGGGTCTCTGTCCTCATGCAGACATAGGGAGCCTCTGCTCAAAATTTTGCAGCAGCAGCTGCTAGAGTCCTTTTGTGATTTCTGCTGTCCCTTGACCACTTGAAGGAATGGCTCTGGGCATTTTCTGTGGCCCGAGCCCTGCTGCAGCACTATGTCTGTGGCAATTCCACCTCTTTCTGGCAAGTGCTGACCCAGAGATTATCTGGAGTTTTCCAGTGGGGTGGGAGCTCTTTTGAGCTCAGCTGTGGCTTAGTCCAGGGAGTTGGTGTGTTGGCTGGCCCAGCCTTCCTCCTCTCCAAGTTGCAGACAAAAGCAAGGACATTCCTCCCTGTGTTCTTCCCCTCCAGGATCAGAAGCGCATGGAGAAGATCTCTAAGAGAGTGAATGCCATCGAGGAGGTGAACAACAATGTGAAGCTGCTGACAGAGATGGTGACAAACTACAGCAAGGGGGAGACAACAGAGAGCAATGAGGACCTAATGAAGGTGAGAAGAGGCCATCCCAGCATCCTCCCTGGGCTTAGCAGAGATGGGCAACCCTTATTGCCTCAAGTTCCTCCTGCTTGGTTTGCACCCCTAGCTGAGCATCCTGCTGCTCGCCTCAGTGCTGCTTTCTCCTCTCCCCCAGGAGCTGTATCAGCGCTGTGAGCGCATGAGGCCCATGCTTTTCCGGCTCGCCAGTGACACAGAAGACAATGATGAAGCTCTGGGTAAGTATCTCTTAGGCTCTGTGCCTTTCTCATTCTGTCCACTTTTCCCTTCATCTTCTCTCAGGAAACGTGCGCTTGGGCTGCCACTCTGGGGTGGCTGCTTGCTGTAGGTTAGTCCGTGGCTTGGCACTAAGTGGAGGCATGTGGCAGCAATCAGCAATGTTACAGGTTTCCTCCGCTTCACTGTAGGAACAACACTTTTACTTGTCCAGCTGAGACTGTCATGGAGGTGTCAATGTACCCTGATACAGTTTGCAGCAACAATTGCAAAAGTGCTGTCTGCAGTGGTCTGCTGTCAGCTCTTTGGGTCTTGCTTTGAAGGAACAGACAAAGTTGGGGTATAAAAGTCACTCTCTTTGTTTCTTCACTGTTTTCAAACTTACTTCCCACTTATTCCATTTCAGCGGAGATCCTGCAAGCCAATGACAATCTGACACAGGTGATCAATCTCTACAAGCAGCTTGTGCGGGGAGAAGAGATCAATGGGGAGATGGTGGCTGGTCCCCTTCGAGGTGAGGAGACTTGGGGAATGGGGACAGGAAGATCAAGCAGAGGGGACTCTCTTGCTGGTTTCTTGCAATGTAAGAGAAGATTGAGAGAAGTGGGAAGGTGAAACCTGCAAGAGGTCAGAGTGGGGCTGGTGAGATGAGGAGATGGCTTGAGAAGATGACTGATGCATGAAGAGAGGGAATTGGAAGGGAGAGCAGAGGGGGAGTTCCTTCTCCCAGGTGTGAGGAAGGATGGGAACTGGCCTCAGAACACTAGATAAGGACTGCATGAGGTTTCTGTCTCAGCTTGTTCCTTCATTGCAGGCAGCACCTCAGCACTTCTGGATCTGTCAGGCCTGGATCTTCCAGCAACGGGCCCTTCCTACCCAGCCTTGCCCACCCTTTCAGGTGGCTCAGCAGTACCTGTGCCTGACCAAGCTGGCTCTGTCTCCTTGCTGGATGATGAACTCATGTCTTTGGGTGAGAAGGACAGAGCAAAAGCTCTTTATTCTCTCCTTGGGTCTGGACAGTCTCCGTGGATGGTTCTCCCTGTGGCAGGAGCACGAATAAGGGAGAGCTCTGGGAGAGGTGAATAATGAAAGACCAAGAAGTGGCCTTCACTTAGTGTGAGTGAGAAGGAAGGAAAGACCCTGAACTTCAGTCCCATGGTGTTTTCCTAACTAGCCAAGAGAGAGCCTGCAGGGATGTGCCCTCTGATTTGCTCTGGGAAAACTGACCTGGCAGGTAAATCAAGAGTGATGCAATGGCCATCCCCAGATGGAATCACAAGGGTGGATCACCCCCAGCTCCTCATGTTTACTCCTTGCAGTTGAAGTCGCAAGCTGACAGCAGACGTATGGGACTTCCAGAACTGTTCACATGGAAGTGCCAATCCTAGAAGGCTCTAGAATCAAAGTGTCTGTTTCCTAAGATAAGTGCTTTGAGTACAGCAACATGTAGGCAACACAGTCTCCCCAGATGCAGGTGCAAGTGGGGTTTGTCAGCCCAGTAGTATTCACTTCTCTGCCAGCTGCAGCATTTTTAATTAGGATCTCTGGGCAGAAAAAATACCATCACCTTCCCTGTGCTCCCCCATGCAAGGATGAGGGCCAGAGATTGAGACTGAATTGGTGGTTCAGCCCTGCTCCTTCTGCATCTTGTCCAATCAGAGTGATCTCAGTTACAGGTACCTTATTCAGGCCACGTTTAGTGCTCTTAACCACTTGGTACCTAAGCTTCATGTTTACTTTTACCCCCAACAGGCTTAAATGACCCAGCACCGCATCCTGCCCAGGCTAGTGACAGCAGTGGCTGGAACAGCTTCCAGGTAATGTGCAGAGAGCTGGGGCAGAAGGTGGGGAGGGTGGTGAAAGCAACAAATGGAGCAGGCAGGGAAGCATCACAGGTATGATGGTTGGTGATGATATGCAACCCTGCTTGGGGGGCCTCTCCTGTGCATTCTTTCTGCAGTCATCAGATAACAACGAGCTCAGTATCACCCCTATCATGGCAATGCCACCAGTCAAAGCAGATGCTGGCGCTTCCTCCCCCAAACCTTCTCCTTTCACCAGTGGCCTGGATGACTTGGATCTCCTGGGCAAGACTCTTCTGCAACAGTCTCTGCCTCCAGAGTCCCAACAAGTGCGATGGTAAGCAGGAGAAGGTCAATCTTGCATCTCTCCCCATCCTTTCCATTTCTGTGTTTCTGGACATGACATTTCAGTACCCTGTTCCACTCCTCGCTCTCTCTCCCTACAGGGAGAAGCAGCAGCAGCCACCTCCCCGTCTCACCCTGAGGGATCTCCAGAACAGGAGCAGCTCTGGCACCACGACCCACAATCCCAGCACTCTGCCTGTGCTCCAGAGTGTTTCCCCTAACCCCACACTGCCCCTGACCTCAGAGCTGCCTGCCCCTGCTACGCTTCCAAAAGCTGCCACCACACCAGCAGGGAATACTGCAGTCCCATCACGGCCTCCGGCCACCGCGCTGCCCCAGGAGATCTCGCTGGCCAACATCACTGTGCCTCTGGAGTCAATCAAACCCAGTGAGCTGGGGCAAAAGAGGGGGGAATCTTGAGGGGAGCAGACCATGCACACATGGAAGGGAAGAATGGGAGGAAACTTCTCGCTTGTTGGATTTTGTCAAAGTTGGGTAGGAGTGGTATTGGTGTCACTTGTATGGAGTTTGGATGATGGGGAAAGGTCCCTGCAGGGTCAGTTCCCTCCTGGCTGACTGCTGCCTGTCCCTGCCTTTCCTACAGGCAGCATCCTCCCTGTGACAGTGTATGATCAGCACGGCTTCCGCGTCCTCTTCCACTTCGCTAAGGATGCCCTGCCCGAGAGGCCTGATGTGCTTGTCGTGGTGATTTCTATGCTTAGCACAGCTCCACAGCCCATCCGCAACATTGTCTTTCAGTCTGCCGTCCCCAAGGTAAGGCAGCTGCTGGGTCTGAGGTCCCCAGACTGGGCTGAAGTGTGATTCTCCCTTTGCAGGAAAGGCAGGGTGGGTGGAGAGAGCTCTCTGGAGCTGAGAGTGAGGTTTGTTGCCTTCAGATTAGCAGGAACCAGAACAATGGATTTTGACTAGACAGTGGAAGCTCCCCAAATACAGGAGCAGAGTCTCTGGCTGTCAAGTCTCTCTTAAGAATGTGGGATGCTTTTCTCTCTCCCTAGGTGATGAAGGTGAAGCTACAGCCTCCCTCAGCCACGGAGCTGCCAGCATTCAACCCCATTGTCCACCCCAGTGCCATCACACAAGTCCTGCTGCTTGCTAACCCACAGAAGGTAAGGGCACCATCCCTGGGGCATGAGCAGACACTGGCCTTGCTGCCTGGGCAAAGCCCAGTTACCCTGTCCCTATTGCCTTGGCTCTCTGCAGCTTCCTAGAGACCCAAATGGTTCATGCCTCTTTACTTTCTTTCCCAGCTTCTCACTGTTTATCCTTTCTCCCCTATCTCCAGGAGAAAGTGAGGTTACGGTACAAGCTGACCTTCACCATGGGAGAGCAAACCTACAATGAAATGGGGGATGTGGACCAGTTTCCCCCGCCGGAGTCCTGGGGGAATCTCTAGGGCTGCACGTTGCAGGCACTACATGGCAGAGTCCTTGGGAAGCCAGCCCTGCGGGGCTGGAGCAGCCTGAGGGGATGGGGAGGGTGGGTGGGGGGCTGCTGCTCACGCTCTATTCTCCAGATGGGCGTGCAGGGGCCAGAGGGAGCGTGCCTCCAGGAGGAGAGCAGAGATGCCAGGAGATGTTCATCCCACGAGACTAAGAGCGGAGTGAAATGCTTCGTGTGGGTGAACAGTTGCCTTCCCTGCTCTTCCAAAGGTGTCACTCCCTCCCCAGTCTGTCCAGCTTCTCTTCTAACACTGCTTTCCCCCTAAGGTGCGGTGGGGAACAAGGATGAGGAGCCTAACAGCCTCAGCCTGGGGGGCAAGGCCTAGAAAAAGGAGGTCCTTTTCCTTATCTGTCCCCTCCGTGCTTCCCAGCCCTTCAGCTGCTTCATGCTCTGCAGTGCTTCGTCTTGTCCCCCTTCCCCCCCGTTGGAGCTGGGTCCCAGTGGTTCCCTCTCTGGTGGGATCACACTGGAGCTGGTGCAGAACAAGGCTGGACAGAGGCTGGGTGTCTCTCCAGCACCGGAGGGCTGGCAGCTGCCCTTGCTTTGGGGGGGTCAGGGGGACTGATCTTCCTATATCCCCCTCCTTCTGGGTGCTGGCAGAGCTGTGGGGTGGGAGCCCTGGGGCTGGGAAGGGCTTGCTCTGTGCCTTCCCATCCCCTTCAGCTGGAGTTCCTGGGTGCTGAACCCCTGAAGCGAGGAAGCCTGCACCCTTCCACATGCTTTATCCACCACAGCAAGCTTTGGACACTGCTGCTGGACTTTGTTGCACGTGCCAGCCCTGAGAGGGGTGTTCTGGAGGGATAGAGTCTCCCTACAGCCTCCTGCCCAACAGGGAGAGGAAGCAGTACATCGTCTTCCTCCCTCTGCCTGGGCTGGAGAGTGTGTTGGGGCAGGGGGCTTTCTCAGCTCTTCAGTCTCTTCCCACCGTGGGTAGGTGGTGGGTTGGGAGTCAAGGAGAGTCTGGAGCCCAGCCCATCACCAGAGGGCACCACTAAGCTCTGCACTGGGAGCCCAGTTCTGTGCTGGGGGGTACAGGGAGGGGGTACAACTGTGCCTTCTGCACCTTCGCCTGCAGCTGTGGGCAGGCCTGGCTCCCTGCGGCGGGGAGGGGGCTTGCCCCAGCCACCTGATCACTGTGACACAAGAGCAGGGATCTGCAGGCATGGAGGAGACCGGGGGGTGGCACATCCCCAGCAATCCCCATCCCCAGGGGACTTGCAACCACAGGAGCCATTTCCCATCCCTAAGGTGGTTTTAACAAGGCCTGATCTGAAAAGCAGGGGCAAGCTGCACCCTGCATGGGCTTGGTAGAGGTAGAAAGAGGCTTGTGCATGCTGGAGGTGAGCAGGGTGCCTCGTGCTCTCGGCTTGGGGGCACCAAAGGTGAGGTGTCTTGGAGCAGGGTGCAGCAAGTGATAGAGGAGAGGGGGAAGCAAGGTCTTTATGCTGGGGTTCTGCTGTGTCTTACTTCCCTTTCTGGTCTCTTTTCAGGGTTTTGTATGGGTTTTTTCTTTGCAGATCTTGTTTGGTTCTTGAACAGACTTGTATATATTTTCAGTGCAAAATTCTGTAAATGGAAGAAAACAGACAAGATTTAAAATGAAACGCCCGGAGCGAAGAATCTGCTGTATTTATGGGAAATAAAGAGATCTTTCCTGATCCTGTCCCTCTGCCTTTTGACCTAAGAAATGCATTTTCCCCTCAACTTCCCTGACTGTAGAGAAGCTGATTACACCCTGCAAGAGCTCATTTACAGATCAAATTACTGCCCCTGCAATCCCCCAGTCACCTGGGGCTTTGCCATGGTAATTTCCCCAGTCCTGTGAGCAGGGAGAGGGGATGGTGGAAGTCCCCCGACTGCTCTCAATTCCTGTTTGAAAGCAGAGTCACTTCCAGGCTGCAAGCTGGGTGCTGCCTGCTTCCCTCCCTCTCTGGGGAGAGGTGGTGGGCAGGGGTTGGTGCCCCACAGCCCACAGAGAGCAGGGCTTGAGCTCTCTCCCGTGCCCCACAGGGCTGTTTGCAGCTTCACCGCTGCCGATAGCAGCACTTCTCTTCCCCGGGGCTGCCTCTCCGAAGTGGCTCTGTGGGGCAGTTTTATTGCAGGGAGAGGGATCTGCTCTGGCCAGCAGCAGCTTGGGGCTGGGAGCAGGTCCTCTGTGACATTGCATGGGAGGAAAGAGGTCACAGCTTAGGCCACTGCCTGAAGCAGCCAACAAGGGTCCAGGGAGGCTTTTCTGTGTCTTTGCAATAGGTGCTTGAAGCCCTTGCCTGCTTGCAGCAACCACAATACCAGTTAGGAGCACCCCCAGGGCTCAGGGCCAGGGGCCCCAGCATGCTTGGCCACAGGTGTAGACCAACCTGGTGTGACGGGGGGAATGGTGCTCACTTGTTCAGTCCCTGCTCGAAAACAGAGGTCCAGCACTGCTTTGCTACACAATCACTGGAGGTTTCCCCCCCCACCATGAAGAGGGAGCAGGACCTGTCAGCCCCCAAATTATTGGTGCTCGGGCTTCAGGGCACAGGTGGAGTGGCCCTTCCGCCTCTTTTCCTTTTCTGCTTGTCTCATCTACCCACAAACTGACCGCTTCGCGTCTGGGCTCTGGCGTTAGTTCCTTTGCCAGCCATGTAACCCGGTGGACGGCAACCTCTGCTCTTTCTTAGTGCAGAAAGAGGAAAGTCCCAGCTGCAGGTAGCCAGAGATAAGGCGAGGTTTACATCTTGTCAAGCTAGAAGCAAAGGGGGTGGTGGCATGAAGGAGATGTTTTTACACTCAAAAAAAAAAAAAAAAAAAAAAAACCTGAGCCCTGGTGCGGCTCTGCAGAGAGCAGGCAGCACCCGAGCCTGGGAACTGGGAGTTTGTGGTCCCCGTGCAACTGCACACAGGCGCTGCTGTTCTGCGCTTGGCCCAGCCGCCAGCTCGGAGGAGCCCTGCCAGCAACCGGGGAGTGGGGAGGAAGGGGCCTCCCCAGGGCAGCAGGTGACAGTCTTTGGCCACAGCTTTGAGGTGGCTTTGGGGAGCCTCTGCAACGGCAGGGAGAGAAAGCGGGGTGTGGGGAGCGCAGAAGGGATTGCAGGAGTGGCTTTGCTGCTTGCCCCCCT